CCCCAAAACCCCAAAACCCCAAAACCCCAAAACCCCGGTATATGGCCTGAATATTGTAAATAATAAATTAATTGAAATGCATCCTTATGGAGACATCAATGTATGTGGCCGCAAATAAAAGAATTCTAGTGCTTTATTCACTAAGTTAATCTACCAATTTATAGAGAACCTTAAATTATATAAGAAATAATGGGAGCCAAAATATGGTATGATTAAATTTGTGTATTTCTAGGGTAATAGATTCAACAGAGGGTCTGGGAGCACACAATCTTGGAATAGATTAAAAGGAAGCAACCCAAGACTTAAAGGAAGGACCAGAAATTTCAACCTTCCATTACTTCCAAATCAGTTTACTCAAAATAATGCTACACAATACTTGAATATTCAGGATAGTATTGGAAATAAACAAAGGGAAAACTTTTTACCTAGTTTCTTTAGCAGAATCTCTCCTACTAAATCAGACCAACCAAGCATAATTAATTCACATTTGGAAAATCTTGAGAGGAGGAACATTAGCTTAATAAAATAAGTTAAACAGAAACATTAGTGCAATGGAACGATCAAGATCAGTTCAACCAAGGTCTGACTCAAGATTAACAAACCAGCTTGAAGACCCGAGGATACCAAAATTTCTTGGATCTACATCATCAGATATGGACAGACTCCCAAATAACTCAGGCTCACAACTTGGAATGCAATCTCACCAAAATAATTCTCAAATGATGACCCCTCAGATGATATATGCTATGCCACAATTCAGTCCAGGATTTGATGAAGATTCTGATGAAGATCGCAGACGAAAGAAGAAAAAGAAGAAGCGTGTAATCACTCTCTTCACATAATATCATCCTCATATTCTTCAAAAATCAGTCTAATCCCCTATAGAAGAAAAAGAAGAAGAGGAAGCATAAAAAGAAGAACAAAAAGAGAGACTCTAGTTGCACAAATTCAGACGGGAGTGATTCAGACTCTTCCTCTGAGGGCAAGAGCCCTGAAAAGAAGAATGCAAGGAAGTTCAAACAAATTGTCAAACAAACAAGGGAAGAATATAAGAATGGCCAAGACTTGAGGGAGCTCAAAGAGAAAATGACAACCAATCAGGATTTTAAAGATAATTTACTCAGGAATTTAGGCCTTTCAGGTATCGATAGAGATGAAGGTCCAGAATCTGTAGCTACGCAAGTTGAACTTTATTTAAATGAAGAGGAAAAGAAAAAGAAAGCGAAAGAGCTGAATACGAAAAAGGGAATTATTTCTGGAATCCTTGAGAAAGCAAAAGAGTCTATGAAAGAAAAATAGCTTGACACCTAAAGAGGAAGCAAAAGACAAAGGCAAAGGCAAAGAAGAGTCGAAAGAAGTCAAAGAGGAGACTAAAGAAGAAGTCAAAGAACCAGTAGAAATAAAAGATAATAGAGAGCAAGAAATAGAGGATTTTAAGGATAGTCTTGAAATTTTTGTTGATGTAGCTAAAAATTGGGTACTTGACACAATAAAAATCCCAATTACTGGTGTTTTTGAAGATCAAAGAATGGACCTTGACTTTATTGAAGCAACTACTAGGGTGAGGATTGACAATGCATATAGAAAAGCTAAAGTTAGAGCAGGAGCAATTCTAGATGCACTTATTAAAAAATGCAACCCAAATGATTTCCCTTATTCACTTCTCTTTTTCCTAAACAGATTAACCAGTGATGGGATGTACTTTCCAGATGATCTTTTGACCATCTTTGAGCTTAACAGACTGACCCTGACAAAGAAAGGAGCTTTAAAGTCACCTACTTTTGAGATGAAGCAAATGATAATAGCCTTCTTTATAATCGCAAGAGTATTATGAGGTCTCATTTTGTTAATGCCACAAAATATTGGATATAAAGCTAAAATCAATTACAACTGCAAATAACAATTTCAAGATTATTGCTTCACTAGTTTGGTTTGCTAGCTTAAAATACCTTAAGACATATGTAAAGCCCATTAATCCAAAATAACGATGAAGATCTAAAACAGAAGAAGAACCCTCGCAAGAGGCTTAAACCAACTGATATCATAAGCGAGGATCTTTATGGAGAAAGAGAATTAACTGCTTTTCATTACCGTGACAAAGAGTTCTTCCTGCTATGAGCAAAGAAAGTAGGCATTTTCCTACGAACACTCACTAATCTATGTCCACAACATACTTTAGCCAAGAAGATCCAGGAAGGAGCAGGCATAGAATAATTATGACCATGGAAATATTTTCTTGCTAATATCGTTCAATGGCAATCTTAAATCTTGGGGTTTTGGGGTTTTGGGGTTTTGGGGTTTTGGGG